TTCGCTTACTGGTTGGTAGACGTAAAAGGAGCAATGTACAGTTGTTGCAAAGTACGACTGCGCGCCGCTCTTAGTTCTGTGAGTGACCAATCTATACCTCAAGCACCGGTCACCGTCCTCGCCGAGTGACGAAGAGCTCGACGGGTAAATTAACCCATATACCCAACAGCCCGCTGAGTTTCTCGCCGGATCTTCTCAGTGGGTCGCGTTCCCGATCCGGTGGTAGATTAATTTGCGAAGCAGCTACTCTTGTGTTGTTAGGTCTCCTTTCGGGGCGCTCGGGTAGCTGTTAGCAAATCCCACCCTTCCTGGCTGAGCCCTTGCTTGCCCACCTGCCCTGGTAGAACTGGAAAGACCGGGCCACCAGTAATCTCTCAAACATAAAAAAAACTTTGCAACAACTACCTATATAATACATATTATAGAAAACGAAACATAACCTAACCTAAAGATCTCCGATTCGTTCGATAACTCAAAAGCTTTAAAACAAATAATCGAGATAACAATCGTTCCCAAGCAGCTTACATAAGGTTAAATTTCTCTTAATTTACTGAGATAAGTAATAGCTTGGGTACACTGTCGAGGGTATTGTAAAACAATAGAAATATTTAGTTTAACACAATCCTACTCCATTGTTCGTAACTATATAGTTGAAATGTATTGCAAAGATCACGCTGCAAACGAGCGAATTGCGAATTGAGAAATCGTAACCCGTACAATAAGGTCTCTCCATCATATCAAAGTTTTTTATTTTATTTTTATTGCCTTTGTAAGCAGACGAGCATACGGCCCACCTGATGGTGAGTGATTACCGTCGCCCATGGACTTCAGCAATGCCAAGGGCAGAGCCAAGCCGCTGCCTACCGCTAATTAATCCTTGTTCGCGTGAACTCAATGTGAAGTGGGTACAAGAGCCCACAGAGAACACAAAGTTAAACTCACCTTGGTGGTAGGACCTCTTGTGAGTCCGCGCGGGTAGGTACCACCACCCTGTCTATTTCTGCCGTGAAGCAGTAATGCGTTTCGGTTTGAAGGGTAAGGCAGCCGTTGTAACTATAGTTGAGACCTTAGAACTTATATCTCAAGATGGGTGGCGCATTTTCGTTGTAGATGTCTATGGGCTCCAGTAACCACTTAACACCAGGTGGGCTGTGAGCTCATCCACCCAACTAAGCAATAAAAAAAAATATGAGATGGAAAAACCCGAAAAACTAAAAACCCCTGGTTCGCGACAGAAGTAGGCAGAATTAACAGTAATAATTCTGCCGATAGAAATGTAGATACACACAAACATACAGTGAACCTGAATATTTTTATTCTCGCTGTCCTGTTTTATTATTCATTTCTACTTGAAATTTATTCGAATAGGAACGAAACATGAATTTCTGTTGTATGTAAGGAACGAATACGAGTAGTTTCGAAAACTTTCTGAATATATCGTCCTATTTTCCGCTTCGTGTGTTTGTAACTTACGTCTGTGCTGACTATAAATGTTTGAGGATTTACTGGTGGTAGGGCGTTATGTGAGCCCACGGGGGTGGGTTCCACCACCCTATCTATTCCCTATCTATACCTGTCGATTCCTGCTGTGAAGCAGTAACGCGTTTTGGTTTGAAGACTAGGGCAGCCGTTGTACTGTAAAAATTTGAGACTTCATTTCTCAAAACGGGCGACGACATTGACGTGGTTGGTGTATGTGAGCTTCGGTGACGACTTAACACCAGGTACGTCATGAGCTCGTCGCACCCACCCATCTCAGTAATAAAATAGGGATCAACATCAACTCCGTAAACAGTTCGAAGCCGCATTTTGTGATTATAATAATAATTACTTCCCTTAACAGCGATTGAAATAAGAGAGCGTGTTATTATGTTTGATAAACGATTGATGTATTCTTGCATTGGCTTAAATCGTTATTGAACTCCAAGGCTTTGAGAAATAAGATCGAATTTGCAATGCCTTGGAATTTCTGTATCTTCCTTCGAACGCTAGAAGCGCGCGCTAGACTTTAATTGACAAAACCCTTGTTTCGTAACAAAAAAAAGCCCTATTACAATCACGAACTTATCTTCTACATGTTACGGCTCATTTCATTATGGCCATTCAGAATCAAGATGCATCGATTCAAGTAAAAGTACTCTATACTAAAACCGTTGTCTGACCCGTTCTCTGTACAACGGTGGTAATTTTTCACGGCACCAGCGAGCAATTAGCGTCATTTTAGATAAACGCGCGCACTTGTATAATATCCACGTTTTACGCAACGACCTTGGGAGTTTTAACCGACTTCAATAAAGAAGGAGGTTCTCAATTTGACTGTAGGTTTTTTTTTTATGTTTGTTACCTCATAACTTTTGACTGGGTGAATCGATTTTGACGATTCTTTTTTTATTAGAAAGCTGACGCTTCCCTTAAATTGAAATGGGACCATTTCTAATAATGGTATCCATGAGAAAACCATACAAGTCTTAAATTTGCATTAAGTACGTGCGCGACAAATAGATGAATAAATCAATAACGCAATATCACGCCAACCGATTTCGATGATTATTGTTTTTAGTGTATATTAATTTGTTTTGGAATATCATTTATTTTTATATTTGAAGTCGGGATTTTACTAAACCATGCCTATTTACAATTATGTTTGAAACTGAAGTACTGTATTCGTTTTGCAAATGCAAACCACATATACTGACTTCTCCTTCTAAAGATTATGATTCTCGGGAAGGAAAACGATCTTTGGTTTTTTAATCGAAAGAAATCTTTAGAAGATACGGTATATGGGGCTTGAGTGATGAATCTAAGCTACCGCCAGACGGAAGTAATCGTCCGAGCCCCAAAAGTGACTTGGAAAGAAAAGTAACTGGAAACAGCTCCTTCGATATGAATGAACTCCCCTTTGATGTAATTAAGATGTTGATATCGTATAGAATAACTCAGAATATTCACAGGCAACTGAATATTTTTTTTTACTAACTTAAACTAAATATCTACAATTTTATTATAAATCTTTGTAGCCTCGATTCCTAATGATGACATTATTTTTATTATTAATATTATTTAATTTTAATAATTTTATTTGTAGATCTTGATATTGAACCGCCCTACAATCATTCCACTTGTTTATTATCGTTCCTGACCTATGCTTCATTAATCTTGATGTTGGAACATTTTTGCTTACATACGCAAACTAAAGTACAATGAATACTAAATATTTATGTGAAATATTAATTTATTCACACTTGCGCAATGAACTAGCTGTCAATAATACAAAAGAATTTTCGCAAGTGGGCAAAGAATAACAATGTATCTCACTTTTATTCCACGCCATCTGTCGGAAACGAAAAGAAACAAACAATTGCCGTTGCGTTTCCCGTGTTTTTAGATGTAGGTTATAACGCATCTGTTAATTAATGTAATACATACAAGCTTTTGAGGTTTTACAAAGCAAATCTATTTATTAATAGGGTCACTATAAATAATTACACCTGGGAGTGTCCTAATATTGGACAACTATTACAATAAATAACCACTGTTAGATAACAATAATTTAAATGACAAGTAATCAAAGCTACATTAAAGTATTACGTACCCTTGCAATTTGTGATACTAGATATTGAATCTCCAGCTTAGTTTAACGAATCTATTTTATTACTATGTATAAAGTGGTATGTAAAACTAAATAATAATAAACACCTGGAATAAATTTTAGATAATTAAATAATCTAATAATTTTAGGGGTAATTGTTTTTTTCTGCAATTCTATTGGTTTACAATTAATTAAATATTTAATTATTTATTCAAATCAAGACTAAGTAATTTGCTAACTCAAATCCAACGAATAGACAAAATGCCGCCATGTTTTTTAATTCAAACTACGTATAGGTATGTATGTAACGAATACTAATTTATTTTGCTTGTTTTATGCGAAAAGAATAAAATATTTTACTAAAATACAACTACATACATGGATTTTATTTAAAATATACTCTATTGTCATTCCGTAAATGTAGAATAAATTAAAGCCACACAAAACTTTTAAAATGTCACTTAGATTCACAAAATCATATAAAACTAATTAATTTACTGGTGGTAGAACCTCTTGTGAGTACACACGGGTAGGTACCACCACCCCGCCTATTTCTGCCGAGAAGCAGTAATGCGTTTCGGTTTGAAGGGTGAGGTAGCCGTTGTAACTATACTGAGACCTTAGAACTTATATCTCAAGGTGGGTGGCGCATTTACGTTGTAGATGTCTATGGGCTCCAGTAACCACTTAACACCAGGTGGGCTGTGAGCTCCTCCATCCATCTAAGCAATAAAAAAATTTGATGTCTATGGGCTCCAGTAACCACTTAACGTCAGGTGCGCTGTGAGCTCATTCACCCATGTAAGCAATAAAAAACATTATTAAACAACTCATAGCTAATAAAACAAGTATGATATAACAAGTAGTGTCAGACATGCGTGTGTATGCACGCGGAAGATTGCGAATGTGAATAATTAATGCAGAAATATGTAAAACAAAGCATTTTAACGTTCTATTCTTTTTGATTGTAACTTTACTTTCTCACGAGATTATTTAATAGCAACTTCGAATAATGCAAGTCTTCGAAAGCACTCGCTTCATTTAACATTCCGCTTTCTTGACTAAATACCAATACTAAATACAATACAATAAACGTACTACTAAATACAATAAACGTAATATGTATATAATGAGCGATTCAATCGATTTATTACACTGATTGATTTGCGCAAGAGCAATGTCAATTATTGTCAAAGTTATAGAGTTGATTAAAACGGGTTTGTCAGTGAGTTCTTGTTTTCATTCAAAGAAAGGACGTTGACTCGCGCGTACGCTATTTTATACGGTTGTATTGGTAGCACTGCGCTGGCGCTGATGTTGAGTTGCCGTTTCATTGGCAGCACTGCCGCTGCTAACTTCACGGCGTACCAGTTGACGCGAACGTTACGTTAGTTATGTTTTGAACGGACATGTTTGATTGTTACTTTTGTTTAAAAAAAAAAAAACAAATTATTCAATGGATCGTATCAATTCAACTTTTGTTAATGCGTTAGACTCATTAGTGATAAGTGATTGTGTTTTAATCGGTGCAATTAATGAACATGTAACGCGGTGAAAGTGTGGTTAAATCTGAATAGATGTGTTCGTTAAATCATTATTAACAATCGCATGTTTTAGTGCAATTAGGTGAAAATCACATAATATAAATTTGGTTCAATGCGGAAATATACCGTTTTAAATCAATAAACATTGGCTCGAGATATCGTTCCATCCGGCGTCAGACCTTCGACTGTTAAGGCAATAAACCTCGTAGACCAGAACCCGGCTTAAACTGTAATAAAAAATGTCAATTTATTTTTAGAGCTGTAAAAAACTGTCCTAGGACATAAAAATGTCTAAACTTGAATTTAAAGGTGCTCCGATAATAGTGATGTTCGGAAGCGCTAGATTTACGTTCCAATTATATTTATTGCCTGAAAATAGTTTTACCCATAAATTTAAGAATAAATGTTCAAATAAATAAACTCCAAACAAAAATTTACGACATTAATATAAAGTATTGGATAGTAACGAAAACATATTAAACCGGTTATAACCATACAATTTTTTTGTTGGAAATTAACAGCCTTCAATTATTGACTCTAAAGACTGTACGAGTAATGTGTGATATAAGGTAAAAGCACTAATGCTGGACATTGAACTAAAAGATGACACTTTAAAAAAAAAAAAATTCTAATAAGGAAACTAAACACTTAAATAACATTGCTATTGATGTTATAGACACCTAGTACCTTCTATAGTACATTCTCAAAAGCTTGCGTACAGTGTTAGAAGCAAATTTCAAAATGGCATCAGTTGACAACAAACANTTTGATTTTCGATGCTGTCATCTTTTAGTGTCTATGGCAAAACTAACAAGTTTGTAATTTTTTGTAGAAACTACAACAGTATTGAAATATTTTATATGAAAAAATTGATCTCTAAATGTTGCTCTAACAGTAAAAAAAAAGATTTAATATAACTTTTGATAAATACATTTGATAACTGAGAATGAAGTTTGACTTGTCCTTAAAGTGTCTAGCATTAGTGCTTTTACCTTAACCTAAACGTAATTTTCCCTTAACTTTTTAATTTTTATAACCTAAACGTAATTTTCCCTTAACTTTTTAATTTTTATAACCTAAACGTAATTTTCCCTTAACTTTTTAATTTTTGTATAACTTATAGGCTATGCGGTGGACAACCTTAGAGCTTGCAAGCTACAACTATTAAGTTTTTCCTATTTCGAAATTGTTAAGGCTCTTTAATACTCTTTTTTTTTAAGTTTCTCCACTCCAACTTTTTTTTTTGCCTTTGTAGGCAGACGAGCATTCCTATCGACACCAAAAAAAAAAAAAGGCAGAAGAGCATACGGCCCACCTGATGGTGAGTGGTTACCGTTGCCCATGGACTTCAGCAATGTCAGGGGCAGAGTCAAGCCGCTGCCTACCGTAGACTTGAGTTGTCTAACATTAATTGCGATGCAGTATAGAACTGTATACCTATTTGATACTTGGGCAGAGTCTTGTGTGCCCTTAGCTTTGGAAAAATGAAACCTCTAACCGCTCCACACCTAACGGACGCTAGCTTAACATCGTTAGTCAAAGCCAAAACGATTTATTTTACATTAAAATTCCGAATTAATAGCATGGAATAATACAAAGTCAGATAATTTTCTGAGGCGCATGATTCAATTAAAGCTATATTTACCTCACAGAGAATTAACCGGAAAATTTCTGTTAATTAACTACTTATGTATCATAACACTCATCGTACATGAGTGTATGAATGTAAATAAGCAGACAAGCTCACGGCCTGCCAGTTTTAAAGATATCACTGGAGCCCGTAGATTGAACAGATCACCATCGCCTGTCTGGAGACAAGAGTAGCTTCAGTAACAGAAACATACTCATAAAAAATGAATTGGGCCTGAATAGACGTCAAGCTGGTTGTTACTGGCAAGGCTTCTATTCAAACGACCATCTAAACCATTTGAAGAAAGACAACGCTCAAGAAATACTTCCGAGAGGAGTTGATTCCAAAATCGGATATTACAAGAAAATGTCTCTTGAAACGCACTGTATATGTGAGTATAGCGGTTCCCAAGAGCAAGAATGAATGAAGTCCTCTCAAAGCAGGTTCTGCTATGATAAAAAAAGAGAATACTTAGAACATACGTCTTATACAGCGCTTTATAGCGCAGAGTGAGCCAAAATCCTTCAATAAACCGAGAGTCTTTGAAAAATTCGTAATAAGATAAATAAGTGCTACTGAGTTCATACGTCTGCTAGGTAGTCAGGCAGACGTTATCACCTTTATTTGAAAATTAAAAGAAGTAAAAAAATCATCAAGTTTGAAAAATATACCAACGCAAATCTAAAATGTTGAAAAAAATAAAAAAATATACCAGAAATGTGGTTTTCGATTTTGAAATAATAATCATTATAAAATCTTAACAAACAAAAATGCGCCTCGTTAAATATCACGTATCCATTTATGCTCCAACTAATCTGCTCGCTACTCATGTAGTATAAAATTCTAGGTTAGTAGTAAATATATTTCAACTAGTAATTCAGAAAAATAATCGCAACTAAAACCCAGTTTTATTTTTCATAATCAATAAACTATCAAACATTATTCGGGCACAGTAACTTTAGTCGTCCAAAATGTTTAGCTACTTCCTTGTTATGCTAGACACTGCTCAGTATTATTCACCTTATTTGCACAACTCCCGATAACTTCCCGTTAGAGTTAAAGAAGAGAGATAAACTTAGAATTCAGCACTATGCACTCCATCGCGCAGGTGAACCTACTAACATCATTGTACAGTCCTGCCTTTCATTCTTCCTATAATCACATATAAGTTATCCGAATCATGGCGTAGAATAATTTTCTAAATAGCTAATCACAGTTTAGGGAGAGTACGGTTTTTATATATTTTCAGTAAATCACTTTAATCTCGAAGCGCGTACATTCAATTCATATTCTCAGTAAAGTTGAAACAAGCAAAAATACTTTTACGCTGTGATCCAAAATCGAAGCAGAGGTCAAATATTTTCAAAGGAATGTATATATTCTAAAAATCGATAAAAGTGAATGCACTGGAGATGAAGTAGTTAGATGACTTTCCAATAAACATATTGGTCAGGCTATTTTACTAACTTGTGCCCATATCTTCGGTTACGAATTATCGAACTCTTCCTTAAAATGTTCATATATTTCATACCTAAGTAGAAAATCTAAGAGCACAGTAACAATCGGCAAGGGTACAAATTTTAACAATTAATTAAATCAAGATCTCCTTGCGAGAAACTTAAGCCTCCTTGTAGCGCCCGAAATCAAGAATTTTAAGAAAAGGCAATAATTTAGAACAAACAAGACGTCTGAATAAGCAATCAAAACGTCTAGAACATTCGGAAGGGACACAATTTACATTGAAATTTCTAAGTTTGTTGGTATTGAACTGTAATTTAATAAATCGACCGTAAATTTTATTCAAACTAAGCATGTTTTATTTTTTGCGTGCTTATAGAGCACGGGCTATCGCCATCATATCGCCCTGCTGCTTGTTTTTATGTGTCTAAGCAGGAAGACCAACCCTCTCTATTAGTTATTAACATTATATGAATTATTCCACCTACCTAAACACGAGTTCAAATCTCAGTTGCTTTGGAGTAACACCTATGTCCTCCTTAACGAAATGCCTGGTTATTTAGCGTCATATGTAGGTAATTAGGGGCGTAGTTACAACAAGGACACCACCGCACTAGAAAAGTTCGTTGGCACTACCACAATATCTGTAAAGGGCTGTTTTCACTGGTGGTAGGACCTCTTGTGTGTCCGCGCGGGTAGGTACCACCACCCTGCCTATTTCCGCCGTGAAGCAGTAATGCGTTTCGGTTCGAAGAGTGGGGTAGCCGTTGTAACTATACTGAGATCTTAGAACTTATATCTCGAGGTGGGTGGCGCATTTACGTTGTAGATGTCTATGGGCTCCAGTAACCACTTAACACCAGGTGGGCTGTGAGCTCGTCCATCCATCTAAGCAATAAATAAAAAAAACTTCCTACATCAGTTGCTAAATCAGCTGTACTTGATTGGAATACGAATGGACCATCCCTGAAATCATCGCACATCGGTCCGCAGACCTTAACTGACCCTGAGGCTTGGACCTTACGGAATTTAAGCATAAGCTATTGCTATTTAAAAGAATGTACCATTCATAAATGCCTCCTAATTTAATTATCAAAGAAATACCATAAGAAATAAGATATTGTGTAATCCTGTCACATCACAAATACCGTAAAATGTGACGAGTAAGATAAATCTTATGCGGCTTATAAAATATGTAAATAGGGTTATCAACGTATAAAATGTATGTTTGTGGAAAACTTTTTTCATGAACCTCATTATAATTTTAAAATAGTCTTTTTTGGAAAGTTAGGTAACTAAGGTAACCGTTTTCATAGTAACTTTAGTCAAATCAACGAAGTTTCGTATTTTATAAAAGCGCTTTATGAAAAAACAAAGGCTTCATAATTTAGGTACCATTAGATAAAACATTATGAAACACGAAGGAGTCACGCGATCGTACATTTGACCCACTTTTAATAAACTAACCTTAAATACACTTCATTAACCACAGATAATTGTTGTTGGGCGCTGTTTTTTTATTCGATGACTAGCTGACTCGGCGGACTTCGTAGTGCCTCAGTCGATAAATAAAAGACCTAAACTTTTGTATAAAATAAACTTAAAACAAACAAAAGAAATCCGCCCGACGGGGGACACATCAAAGGACAAATAAAATTGTTATTTTTATTTAATTCCGAGAATTTTAATATATAAATACCTTTTAAACCTTCTCTGGACTTCCACAAATAATTTAAGACCAAAATTAGCCAAATCGGTCCAGCCGTTCTTGAGTTTTAGCGAGACTAACGAACAGCAATTCATTTTTATATATATAGATTTCAATCAGTTAGGCATTATGGTTTGATTCCTATGAAGATTTTAAGATACTACACATGGAAAAAAGTATTTGTTAAAATATGGGAAGTTTAAAATCAGTATTCATGTTAATTCAAGATTATCCCGATAAATAACTTCGGTTATGTGAAGAAACAAATATTAAAAAAAAAAAAATTCTAAGAGATACATAAAAATGAATAATATGAATGACTTTTGGTGCTAGTCTTGTTTCATTTGAGAACATCACATTAAGCTTTTTCAAGGGACCGTCAAAGTTTGAAAACAGAATAAAGGGTCGGGTTTTTTAGGCCCTAAGCACCTGCTACCTGAATGTTGTGAGGATTAGAAAGAGACAGCTGCTTCAAATGCTTTTAAACATGCAGCCGTCTCTTTTTTCTCTTTGATATCTGATGTTGAACTGTCAACTCCGGGTCTTTTGAAAGATAAATTTAGTATTAAGCATAATTTGATATGATTATTATAAATAATTTACTTATATTTAACATTGACTCGTGTATTACTTGTAAATTGAGTATGTAGATACTTTAGCAGTGTTGCTCAAAATCTAACAGAATGGAAAGCAGTCGACGTCGCCCAAAACACGTCATCTCGGATCCTCCCGATCCACTAACGGTGCTTTTAGGTACTTCAAGCACCGGTCACCGTTCTCGTCGAACCCGTCGCTTGCGACGAAGGGCTCGACGAGTAAATTAACTCTCAGACACAGCCCACTGAGTTTCTCGCCGGATCTTCTCAGTGGGTCGCGNAACACGTCATCTCGGATCCTCCCGATCCACTAACGGTGCTTTTAGGTACTTCAAGCACCGGTCACCGTTCTCGTCGAACCCGTCGCTTGCGACGAAGGGCTCGACGAGTAAATTAACTCTCAGACACAGCCCACTGAGTTTCTCGCCGGATCTTCTCAGTGGGTCGCGTTTCCGATCCGGTGGTAGATTCTGCGAAGCACGGCTCTTGTTAGGGTTCTTGTTAGCAGCGTCATCAGGTTTGAGCCCCGTGAGCTCACCTACTAGCCACGGTTTCGCTGAAATAGCCTTTCAAGGCTATCAGCTTAGATCGAAAAAAAAAAAAAAAAAAATCAAAGTCTATCATCAATGCTACGACGATGAATTGAAAACACTGCAAATTGAAATCGCTGCGTTTTATTATTTGAAATTGGATTTAAAACGGCGAAGTATTTGAATTCATACGACGCCGATTGAATTCAGAGAATTCCTTGTGTTTGAATACCGAAAACGAAGCTGGTTCGAATTTCGAATTTCGAAACAGCTTCGCCGGCAAATTCAACGCCTGCACGACAGATTTAATAAAAGATAAATTCATTTGCAGGAATAGAAAAAACATATTTTTTTTTCGGGACAATAACACACATTGGGAAAACGCCGCTGTTTCTGTAAATAGTCTGCATTCGACCTTATGTTTTTTTTTTTAATTTTTTTATTTCACTAGGATTACAATTGCGCTGGTTTCTTTTATAAACATTCTAATAACGATATTCATTACTGTTTGCAAGCTGTACTTAGCAATACAATATTCTCTGTTGTTTTCACAAATTGAAGACACAATTAAAACTACTTTTGCGGTATGATCTCGCGTTAAATGGTTCCCCGGGAAATAATATGGACTACCTTTCATTACACTGTTATGTCTTGCCCACAGATATTAAATGTAGTTCACACATGCGTATTTGCGCGCGGGTACTTAGTAGAAAATAACTAGTAAGAATAATAATATATGTATATACCAAATCACACCTAGATAATTTAAATATATCACAATCAACGGCTATACGTTAGTTTTTGTCTAGTAGTTTACTGGTGGTAGGACCTCTTGTGAGTCCGCATGGGTGGGTACCACCACCCTTCTTACACCTATATTAACAAAAAAAAAATACAATCTTAATAAAAACAGGTCAGGTACAACTAAACACATAAACATCTTCTATGTACACTAGTGATATAATTGTAAGAATTTCTGTACAATACTATCGCAACCCTGAACCGTCAATGAAAGTGTTGCCATAACAAAGTTAAAGTTCAATATAAGTTTATCGGGCCCGAAGGCTTACTAAAGGGTCGCAACTTGAATAACTTTGGTCTCATTAGTAAGTTCGGGAGTAGTCCACAAAGCTAGTGAAACTTTCCTTCATGCTTAATAATAAACAATATTGACTTTTAAGATTTAAAGCTCGTATAGACGTCTCAAACATCTTTTTAAGTTTTTTTTACCAGTATATCTTTTAATATTCTTTTCGGTACTTTAAGAATATTTTAGTATCTCACTGGTGATAGGAACTCTTGTGCGTCCGCGCGGTTAGGTACCACCACCCTGCTTATTCCTGCCGTGAAGCAGTAATGCGTTTCGGATTGAAGGGTGGGGCAGCCGTTGTAACTATACTTGAGACCTTAGAACTTATGTCTCAAGGTGGGTGGCGCATTTACGTCGTAGATGTCTATGGGCTCGAGATAAAAACCAGGTGGGCTGTGGGCTCGTCCACCCATCTAAGCAATAAGAATAAAAAAAACTCACCAATAATATTAGCTCTGAATATACATTAATCTGATAGTAATGATTATTTTATTTTATCATTTTAATTTTGCAAACTATCCCTGCCAAATGTTCTTGTAAACCATGGGCACATGTACGAAACACTTAAGTTTCTAAAGAAACTCTCGCTTTAGCTATTGTACGTCAAACGCACACACAGTGACAAAAACTTTTCCTGAAATAACACTGAACAAATGCTTAAAGTTTAAATTCAGTCTCACAGACAGTTCGAACCGGCAGAACACAAAAGAAGAAACAAACAAAGTCATTTCAAACATATTAGTGTTAGATCCGTAACGGCTAGAAGCCTTCTCGTATCGTCTCCGCCTTTCAGAATAAATTATATACATAGATAAAAAAAAAAAAACAGTTTTATTCTGTCGGTCAATTTTATATCGATTTTTGTCACATTTACATACAGAAATTTTATTTTTTATACTAGCGACCCGCCCTCGCTTCGCTTGGGAAACATTAAATTTTATTATTGTTAGGCGAAGCCCACCATGTTGCGCGCATTCCGATAATAACTGCAGGTGACGCCGCGGGGTGAAGCTAGTCTAAGAAAAGTAGCCTAATTTACTCCTTATATCATCAGCTACCTATTAATGAAAGTCTCATCAAAATCGGTCTAGCCATTCCAAAGATTAGCCGGAACAGACAGACAGACAAAAATTGTAAAAAATGTTATTTTGGTGTATGTACCGTATATATTATTATATTCATATGCATGTAGTAAAAAACGGTTATTTTAATACTACAAGCAGACACTCTAATTTTATTTATATGTATACATAAGTAAAAAAAAAAAAACATTTTTGGTAGACGCAAAAAAAGCAAATACACGCCGTATATGGACAGGTTAGAAAAAAACAACTTTGCATTGGATACACGGCTATCAATCACGCCTCCAATCATAGTTCAATAAGTTTAAGGTATGATCAATCACATCAGCGCTATGTTTGGTCGCTCTGCATTCTTTAAAATCAAGGCTTCTTACCTATCTCTATACCTACAAACGTTATGAAACTTCAATGATCAACTATCGACCGACTGAATCAATCTCGTGTTTGACACAAAGCGAAAGTAATCATCACGTTCTTAAAAATTATCTTTGTTGTCACAAATCACGACCGTGGCTCACCGTGGAATACGTATTCCAAAGCGTGGATATCTTATCAAATCAAAATTATTGTGCAAACGAGAACAGTTTATCGGGCAATCTCGAAGGCGGCGCACCGGGTCACAGCGAGGTCTCGAGCCTTACCATTTACCACTTCGTTTTAGCCACGCCATTCGGCAAACCGTTCGCGCTTCGAGTGAACGTCAGAACGCGCGACTCACGTAACTATTGTACTGTGAATAGAGTGCGCGAAGTCGATCGCGACGTGCAATGCCCAAGGCTCCGCGTGTCCCGCTACCCTTAGCAGGGCTATGGAGACCCTCCTCGACAAATTCAAAAGGGAGCAAGGAGGCCTGCGACGTTCCAGATCCGTCCGCGCTTCCCTGCGACTGATAGGGAATCGCTGGCGTTCGAACAAGGAAGAACCACCGGCAGATGATATAGACAACGTGAAACGGAACACCGTCGTGTTTACGAAGCCTATTTGGTGCGAGAAGGAGTACGACGACGTCGCGTACGCCGGCGTAAACGGTACGTACAAGCCAAAAACTCCGGTCATGGCGAAACGGAAAGTGGAACCGTTAAAACAGAGAAGGAAAAGTGGAGACGTGGACTTGAGTTTGAAGCCTCAGAGACAAAAGAAAATCGAGAAGAAGTTCAGTGATTTGTTTACGAATAAAAAACAAAAGAGTGTATCTGCAAAAGAGCTGATTATACCAGAGAAGATACCCCCAAAGGCAGCCGCAATACTGCATATTCATGCGCCGGAGAAAGATAAAAAGAAGAAACTTAAGTCAATGGGGAAATCTGAATCTGCTAAGTCAATGTCAGATTTTGTAGTTCAGAAACGTGTGCGGCGAGGATCCGAAGGGGATACGTTCCCTCACCAGCCAAGGGGCCGGGTCAACCCGGCGTTTGTGTACAGCACCCCACCAAAGGAGAGAAAGCTGCCCATGTCACCGACTTCTTACCTGAGTACGTAAAACATTATTCTCTTCACGTTTTCTCACGATCTCGATTGTTCGGTTGTAATAAATAAGGTATAAATAAAGTTAATCATAAGTCATAGATGAGGTTTTCAAGAATCTCCAATGTTTTACTGGAAAAATATTTCGTAATGATAGCGTGACGTCAAAAAGATTCGTGACAAATAAAATAGTACACAGTATAAAACAAAGTAGTTAGTTTAATGTATAAAAGAATAATGAAGATTGCGTGATACATAAAATCAAAATAATTCGATAGCTTTTAAACTTTTATAATTCTCCCCAATATTCACTACACTAAACTAAAGCGCAGAGATAATTAAAATCACATTTATGATAGGGGGTCGCCCTTGACCACTAAAACTGTACACGTTGAAAATAATATAGTGACAATAAAAAGCTCGAGATTAAATCGTAAAAGTAGTTTTAATTATGTCTACGACTTGCGAAAACCGAAGAAAATACAATAAAACCTAAACTGCAGTGATTAAAGTAATGCAAAATAAAAATATGATTAATAATCTATAAATTTTAATAGTTTTAGCATTTTATTAAAACGTCTTGATACTTCTAAAATTTGACTTACTCTATTTTTATGCAGATCGACTGCAATTTATTAGGGAAACCAGGATTCAGTTTTACTTTAATAAATAGAGGTTGTTTTTTATATTTTTTATTATTTTATTCGCCAAAAACATTTTAATATTTGAGAACATGAAAATTGAGATGGCAGTTCTAAAAACTAATTATATTTTCTTTTAAGAAAACTTCGCCGCCTCCTTCGATTGACTTCCAAACCGTTAGTAATTTAACTAAAAGAAATACTTCGAAAACATCAAATTATCTGCGTAAGCAGTTTTATCTGAATAAACTTAATTAAAGAACAAGTGTAGATTAATCGCTATTTCAATTTTAGCGATCACTGCGTATTTAAACGAGTAGATCATTTGCCATTTCAATCTTAGCGACAACCGTAAATATTGCTTCTTTTAATGCTCTAAAACGGATTACAATTTTTTAGGGTTGTCAATTTGTCATTATTTTAGTCAAATAAATACTTATATATTTTAGCGCTTTATGTTTTTTGCAGTAAACGATTCACAATTGATGAGCTGTGAACTCACAGTCCAAACTAAGCGGGTAGATTAACAAAACAAGCTCTAAGCTTCAAGCAGTCGCTCGGTCATTAACCCCAATAATTATTGCGACGAGTTTGCATGTAGACGTCAAAGAAGTTATCAAAAATTGTCTATTGCATTAGTGCAATATTGAATAGAATTGCTAATTAGGCGTGACAGGTAAAAAGTTTTGTTAGTTCTCAGCTGTCGTGGAAATGAAAACCATTTTCATTCACCTCGAGAATACACGAATGTATTTTTACAGTTCAGTGCTTTCCGGAGATGTCGTCGAAATATTTACAGCAAAATAAGTTGTCTTCGTCGATTTTGCGGTGCGCGGTGCTATGACATCCTTTATTTTCACATCCTCGATGGACTAGTTAGTGCCCCGGCATTGCTTATATTTATAATCACAATCTCGGGTATCTTCATTTCACTAAATGTTTCGAGGTTAATCGAAGTTTATAGACGCAATCAGAGGTCAATAGACGGTTTTCCACGGCCTAGTGATCGTTGCAATTGCAATACACGATTGAATGTACTGTAACTATGCCGATTTATTGAAAAAAAAATTATACATTAATGAAGTAATTATCCAAGCTGCTTATTTCATCGTTGCTAATTTCTGGCTAGGGTTGTCAAAGACACTATATTTGTTAGCTATGTTAATTTATTTTGTCATTTCATGTAGGTACCTAATATTATTACGAGGTCAGAGCGTCTTGAATGATGTGCATAGCGAGATTGATGGATTTTAGACAAAAACGTTTGATAGCCCTAGGTCAACATTCACAATAATTTATATCCTGTTTTGCTAATTCAAGTTGTAGTCTTTTATTCCCAAACGCGATTAGTCGTTGAAGTCAGATACGCGGTCGATATTAAACTACACCAAATCGAATTGAAGCATCTTGCTATGTTTTGTTAGTTTAATACAAAGGTTTGATACGCTTTTATCGAGATATTGACATTTGAAATCGAAGTCTCAAGTTCATTGGAATATCACCCGACCCGGGACGTCTCCAAATGTGAACGCATGATTGCTCCGCAGTAAGAACGAGCCCAATGACCATCGGAACGGAAATAAGGGGTTTAAATCAAATAGAAGAAAAAGCGCCCAAAGGGAACCTTTTATGTAAAATTTATAATTTTTTCTCAAACTTTTACTGATTATGATGGATTAATATGTTTTGTTTCAAAAACAATTACTTTTTTTTCTCTTACGCTGAGACGAACGAGCATTTTAAATTAAACCTCTGCCAATCCTATTATTGAACATTGATTTTCAATTCGAAATTTTTTAACACATCTGTCAATCGCAAAGACTGTGACATGTATCTATACATAATACTCGTATGTAATTATAACTTCGATTACAGTTAATAGTTTGTTTTATAATATTGTTCAAGTAATACAAAGCCTTTTATTGCTTAGATGAGTAAAAGAGCTCACGGTTGACCTGGTGTTAAGTGGTTACCGGACATCAACGACGTAAATGCATAATTCAATACATTAATCAGAAATGCATTACTGCTTTGTGCAAAATTAGACAGGGTGATGGAAACTACCCCTACGGGTCCACAAGGCTGCTATTAATACAAACAAATCCCAAATGAACATCCTTAATAAACAAAAATGCTTATTGATAGTTAAGTAATTAATGTTAGCATAATTGAACTGCGAAATAACTGAACGCTAAACCACGGACTGTTATTATAATTTCGCGTTCTCTTTCAGGCAGCATGCAATTATAGAAATCAAATATAATAGAGAGGATTAATATTTTGTACGTAGTAATTACATATTCAAATTAAAGATGATTATTTAAGTATATAAAAAAATTTGTTACGAATCTATTAAAACTATATTTGCGATTTAATTTAGCGTTTATTTCAGTCATTACATTATTTCGGATGTTTTGAATAATTTTCCGTTTCCAACTACAGAAAATACTTTTTACTGGTGGTAGGACCCCTTATGAGACCGCGCGGTTAAGTACCACCACCCTGCCTATTTCTGTTGTGAAGCAGTAATGCGTTTCGGTTTGAAGGGCGGGGCAGCCGTTGTAACTATACTTGAGAGCTTAGAACTTATATCTCAAGGTGGGTGGCGCATTTACGTCGTAGATGTCTATGGGCTCCAGTAACCACTGAACACCAGGTGGGCTGTGAGCTCGTCAACCCATCTAAGCAATAAAAAATAAATAAATGAAATACTGTACAGACTTAATGTGTATTTGGAAAAGGGTAAGCCCCGAGTTTCTAGCCGTTTCTTCTCGGTTGTGAAACTGCATTCCGAATCGGCGCTGGTCATGACGAATTCGAAGCGTGAATCAAAAAATATCTTGATTTCTCATAGAAACCGCTCCCAAAGCCGAGACGGAATAAACTGCTTGCCTATAAAATACGGAAATACAATTATAAATAACTAATAGAATATGTATTTGTACTTAACTCCAATAAAGCATTGAATAAATACTTCGCTAAATTTTTTGGAGGGTAGTAATCGTTTAATTTCAAATGAACATTTTTTTAAACAATTATTGGTTGAAGTGCTTATCTATTGACGGTGGTGTCCAAGTGAAGCGATGGCGGGTGGGTTTTGTGGTGATACCTTCAGCGCATCTTCTTCTTCTTTTTCTTCACCTTATCCCACTAGGTGGGGTCGGCACAGCCATTTTTTCTCTTCTAGTCTCTTCTATCAGCCGTCAGCTCAACACTCCTCTCTCACACACGTCTTTCACACACTCAATCCATGTCTTTTTCGGTCGACCTCTTCCCCCTTTACCAAGCACTACCATTTCCATACATCTCTTAGTCACATGCAGTCACCTTCGGCGCATCGTTGGACGGGATGTAGGGATGCGCTTCGACACAATATACTAAATTGACTTTTTTTTAGTAATTTCATAATTCGTTTGATTTCAATTATGTTAGATTGCGTACTGTAAAAGCTGGAAATCGTTGTAGCCCAAAAGGATAAGACGTATTAATACCGGTATTAACGTATTAAGCGATGCGACTAGGCTGAGTTTCAATACCTCGAGCCTGTACCAACGTTTCTAAAGCAATACGTATCTAAAACGTATTACCGCCAAACCGTGTACAGAAATAGCATCGTTTAATAAAAATAAAACCCGCATATATATATCCATAAATTTGTGTTATTAATAAGGGTAACTGGTAGTCCCACGCCACTAGGTCGAAGCAATCATGATTTCCGGCTTATTGAGTCGGACAGCCGATATGCAATACAAAGAAGACTTCAAGCCCTCGTCTCGGGTGGTTCGATGCATTTAAGTCCTGATCCCATGGGCTTCAATAATTTAATACCAATATGGTCATGACCTTGTTCACCGATCTGGGTAATAAAAATAAAACATTTGACTTTCATTTCGTTATTTTTCCAATACCATATGACCAGGAATCTTCTCAGTGAGTCGCGATTCCCAACCGGTGGTAGATTCTGCGAAGCACTGCTCTTGCCAGGGCCAGTTTTACCAATTCTCTCAGGTTAAGCCAGTGAGCTTGCCTATCAGTCTATGCGTAATTGGAATAGACTTTAGGCTACTAAAGATTTGCTAAAAAAAGATACACGAATAATGAGAGAATTAAAAATATTCAAATCTATTCGCTGTAAAACAATAAGAACCATTGTTAAGATACTCAAACCAGGTTCTCATTATACACAATAATGGATTCACAAATCCTAAATACAAACAAAAAAATATATATTTTTATTCAACTCGAGCAGGATCAAAATGTCAGCTTTCTAATTGCGTAGCAATTATTTCATTGTTACGTAAAAACGGCCAGTGCGCGAAATGGCGCGCAGCTCCCAGCCATTGTTTGATTGTACCCAGTTCCAAACA